TATAAGAAGACTGTTGGCTCTTGCGGTGTCGTTTAATTTATGCACTCATTAATGGTCACTTGATGGCAATTTGTAAGCACTTGATGGTAATTGAGAATACTACACCTCCCCCCTAGTAATTTGACATTACCCCATCAATTCTCACAAACTAAACCTTATCCAAACGTGAGTTTTTTTTTCAATTTCCACAAGTCAATTCCTTGGTTTTGTAAAACATGGAAATTCAGACAAATTTCAACGTTTTAAAATTTCCACATCCAAACGACCCTAAATAAATCCTGTGCAACATTTCAGTTGAATACTCTTGAGAACTAGTTTTTTTTATTCAATTATTACATCGTATTTTTTGCACTAATTTTGAGCACTCATTAAATGTGTAGAGCATGTGGCTACAGAGGAGCAGAGTTCGAAATCCGGCAAAAAATCCGGTTGGCCCAATCGTAAAGACTTCTAAAAATGGAGTCAGTAGTCAACAAATAAAGTACAGTATTTTTATTGGGACTGTAGGATTCCCTCCAGATTTTAGAAGATCTCAAACGCTAAAGTACAAAGTACAGTATTTTTATTGGGAGTGTACTGTGTAGGATCCCCTGCAGATTTAGAAGATCTCAAACGTAATAGTACAAAGTACAGTATTTTTATTGGGAGTGGAGGATCCCTCGCATATTTAGAAGATCTCAAACACTTTTGGAAGCCGCCATGGAAGCGAAGAGAGAAGCAGAAGAAAAAAATTACAAAACAGTATACAAACATAAACAAATGTTACATAAAGTCGAACAAAAACAAAAAGCTGTACTTTCCCTAACTATTTTATCCTATTATACATATGGCAACTTTCCTATCTTGTATACATTTTGGGAGCATGATCAACAAGTACGCGTCAATATGGCGCAGAAGAATCACCACATGAAGTAGGGTTCCACAACACCTATTATGGAATCGCAACAACATGTGATGATTCTTCTGGCTATATTCAGACGGCGACTTATTGTCATTGCTCCCCTCCCTGCCTCTAACAAAGACCCTGCATGGAGAGAAAAGGAGAAACAATACAACGAAGGATTTAGTTTAACAGTCACGATCTAACAATGACATAATGAAAGGAAATGAGATCTAAAATAATACGCAGTCTCATCATTACCACTGCACCCGAAAATAAAGCATGGGATAGGAGGACGAGAGGCGGATGGAGTTGATTTTCGGGGTTTCATATTGAGAAGATGGAAGAAAGGGTTCTTTTCAGGGATTGAGAGGAGGAGGAACGAACAGCAGCAGGAGATGGTTTTCGGAGTCTCATATTGAGAAGATGGAAGAAAGGGTTCTTTTCAAGGATCGGAGCACGGCCTCTCCTTCACTGATTAACGAATTTAAAGATTGACTCGTAATTACTTTTACTTTTCCCTCCCTTCACATTTACTGAAAATTACAGTCCCTACCATTGCCTCGGCCTTGGTAACGCCAGCATTGGTTATGGGCAAAAGCGACTTTCCGAATTCGGCAATATCTGATTGGGTGACACGCACGCGACGAGGATCGAAGGTATTTCACCATCGGATCAAGGGATAAGTTTAGGAATTGACGGTGGGAAATGGGGATGTACTTTTTTAAATAGTCTGAATTTGTAGATTAACTAACTTTTTCGTTTTACCAACATTACTCTATTGATCTGGTTTATGTTATTCTAACTTGAAACCCTAAACCCTAAACCCTAAACCCTAAACCCTAAACCCTAAACCCTAAACCCTAAACCAAACCCTAATACACGAACCAATCAATATCATATACTCTACAACAATAAGAACACCTTATAGGCTTATACCGTAACCAATCAATAACATATATACTTTAAACCATCAACACCTTGCTCCTCCCTTATACGTCCATCACCTTCAAGACCTTATACTGTATACCAACAACACCTTCTTCTATCTCCATCCCCAACTTTCAATTTATAATAAGTGTTTCCTTTGAAATATAAAATGGAACCCACCTTGGCAATTACTAGCATAATGTAGGGATGTAGATGAATAGAAATTGTTAAGTGATGAATTGCTAAAATTGATGATGTGGCGGTAGGGACCTCGTTTAGAAATTGTTGTTCAATTTTAGGGATGAAGATGATCAATACACTAACCCAATACCATATACTCTAAACCATCAAAACCTTATACAATATCTTATTTTAGGGATGGAGATGATCAATACACTAACCCAATACCATGTACTCTAAACCATCAACACCTTATACAATATCGTATACCTAGACGCTGATAATTTAAAATTATAACTTGCTTTTCAAAACATAAATTAAAAATTGATACCTCACTAAGTATCGAACCACAAACCTCTACTTTATTGACTAAGCAAATAAGAGACAATTAACCAATTAAGCTACATCACATTGATGACCATCTTGCATAATTTCGCTTTCTTATTAAGTGAAGGGTTAAAATGATCGATAAATATATCACAGGGGATTGTTTCAACTTCGGCGGGGACTGAGAGAGTGGAAAAGGGGTAATTATTCTACCAAAACAGAAAAGAAAAGGGGGAATTAATGAAGAGTTAAATTGGACGGATTGTCTTTACCACGCCACTACAAAATCATTCGGAGCAAAAACACGCAGGTTCAAATCAAACAATAAATTATCAGCATTTATAAGCAGATATACAGCATTTATAAGCAGATATAACGAATTATGTCTTAGTAATAAGGCATGATCAGCATTTATAAGCAAATATAAAGAAAATATATAATCGAGAAAAAATAAGACAACACCTACCCTCACCCTTTAACCAATCGATACCATATGCTCTAAACCATCAACACCTTATAACCTACCCATATACCATATACTCTATACCATCAACAACCTAATACCCTAAGCAGTCAGTACCCATTTCCTCTAACATCAACACCTTATACAACAATCGTATACCTATACGCTGATAAAATTTTACCGATTGAAAATACTTGTCCAACTAAAGTACATAGGTACTTCAAAAGTGAAACTCTAACTTTCGTTTCAAAACATAAATTCAAAAAATATCCTCACTCAGTATCCAACCACAAACCTCTAATTAGTCTACAAGAGGTTTGTTATGTACGAGTGCATTGCATAAAGAGGGGAAATCGGTGAGAGAGTGGAATGGGATCTCAATTAATGAAGAGTTAAATTGGGCGGATTGTAGTTTACCTCGTACCGCTAAATGTGTAAAGAGACACGCTAGCATTTACCAAATTCCAAAAAAGATGGAACACAGAATTATGTTTAAATTGCGTGAACTCAATGAATGATCAGGATTTTAGAAGCAGAAGCAGATGAAAATAAGTAAAACAAAGAATCGCCACTGAGAGTCTGAGATAGACAATTATCAAAGGCCCAACCTAATGACAATCCGGAACTCAGTATCTATTATCAACAAACTAGGTGTCATGGGTCCATGTACAAGCCCACGTTTGAATGTTTTTTTTTTAGCCTGCAAAAATCAATGATCAGACCCAGTCCAACTAGAATTAGTCCTAAACGCAGCGTTAATACATAAACACAAATTAAGGAGACCTCTCCATCTGATTCGAATCAAATTAGGTCTTCTTCATCTCCTTCCTCAATCCTCTGGGCGAGACGAACACTGCATATCAGGAAACCTTAATTTCACCGAGTGATAGAAGTTTCGAGAAAATGACAATAACGCTAAGACAAGATGACAAAGCACTAGCGACATGAACCCTAGGATTAGCAAATCTCTTTCAAGGGTTCTTTTGCAAACGAAAAGTTTGATGAACACAATAATAGACATGGTCGCCGTAATCGTGTTAGCAAGAGTAAGGCGAGTAATTTTCCGCACGGAAATAAAATGGCGATGAACAAAACGTCGATTTGTGGATAAAAGGATTTGGGGTTCTAAACGATGATTATGTAAGGATTTCATATTGGATGGGGATCTTCTCTTCGAATGTGGATACATAGATTTGGCGTATGAAACATGATGATGTTGGGGATTTGAGATTGGATAGGGAGCTAAATCGAATGTGGATCAAATAATAAAAGGATTTGGGTTTCGAAACGATGATTTTGTTGGAGATTTCAGATTTGATAGGCAGCTTATGATCGAACTTCGAACTTAGAGTTAGAGGGGACCCTCCAAGGCGAATGAGGGATCGTAGAAGGGAGACTGGAAATTGGTTAGGGCGGCGGGTCGTATCCATAGGGTTTAACCTCTTAATCGCTATCATTAAACCGGGTACAGTTAGGTTGAAGTCCGTAGAAGTCACCATAAACGCTTCGTGATGCATTTGGTAATTTTCCTTGCCCCCGGTCACCCGTACCCCTGATTTTGCCCTGGGCACCGTAGAACTGCCCATATATATATATATATATATATATAAGGGAAGTCTGAAAAAACTGAACATAATTATGATTATTCTAACATAATTAATAATAGGAAAACCCTAAGAAATAGGTTATCACTTATCATCGTCAGCCTTGGTTTCAAAGAGCCTGCCGCAGGTGAAGAGCTCTCTGCAACTCAGTTGAAGAATCTGGAAGCAACCCCATACAACTTCCGAAATCATTCAATATCAGATCAACGAAAGTGGATAAGAAAAGATACATAGAAGCAGTCTCAATAATCCAGACTCTGTGCCAATCTGAACTCCTGGATATCTCACTCTCGGGTTGAAAGTTAATAATAACAAACACCTGGTATCTGCAAAAGCAAGAAGAATAATAAGTATAGTAAACATTTTCCACCATGGGTTCCATTTTAGTACAGTTGAAAGGTACAAAAGTTACAAATTTTAATACAAGGTCACATTGCGAGGAAGCCATAATTAAGGGTCATAAAGAGCTTATTATGACCAAAAAGATAAAAGAGAAACCCAACACTTCCCAGACTCACCATACAAGTTGATCAGCTCCTTCCCCCTAAATTGATAGACATATAGATAGATGATAAGTTCCTTCTAATGCCATCATCCTTCTCCGGATCTGAGCCTTTCAGCAAGCACCTCCTGCTCCATCTGTTGGTTCAGCAAACAAAGCAACAACAACGTAAACAATGATCAAAAAGTAGGCCACAAAAGGAAACATGAGAAGAGTTGTTGTCAGTTTCGTTGTTGCTCTGAATCGCAAGCAGTAATATGTACCAAGTATTGAATGAGTGTTGCCATCAGTTCCGATGTTGCTCTGAATCCAACAGCTGCAGCTTCCATCGTACATAACTCGCAATTCCTTGTACTTTGGGATTGAAGTAGGCCAGCAAGAGAATTGAACTCGGAACAAGTTCCAATAACTTAAGAATACTCTTGCTTCTGCGAAGAGCTCCACCTCTCCCCCTGTCCTCAAATCGCAGGACAAGACGGATACTACACCAGCATCACCACGATGTTTGAGGAAGAAAACTTCCGCCTTCTCTGGATGCAAACATGGCCGAAGATAGTGGTGAAGCTCATACAATCTCGACTTCTTTAGCAGCCCGTCACATACTTTCCTCCAAGACTTACTGTCTTGTTCCAGTCTCCAAACACTCGATGCAATGGCGTGCAAGGCGCCTTGCGAGACTGAGATATCCCACCCGGGTTTGCAGAACACTTCCGGAGCATCAATGGCAGTGGGAGGGATGTCGGGTCGGAAAGGATTAAAAGCAGCAATGAAAACTCTCGACCGGCAAACAGCATCTTTATCTTGGTTCGGAACAGCATAACTCCAGAACAGCTCCCCATTGCAGGAAACCACATTTCTGGCTATGCATTGGTAATGATTGGGAATAACAAGACGATCCTTGGTCCATTCTCCGGTATCCGAACAGAACACGTCTAGCTTTGCAGACGATCCACGCGGGTATAGGCGCACCACGCGGAATCGATACTCGGACGAATAAGCAAAGACTTGGTTATCTCCTAGATCGAGATCATTACGCATGCGGGGTTCACAGACTAACCTTGTGAAGAAATACGGGCACCCTGCTGGCAATTCAGGCGCCAAAGGGAGGGCGAGCCATTCTTTGGTAAACGGATTGCAGAGGAAGTATGTTCTGTACAATTCGCCGCTGGTGGGACCCACATCCTCGAATCCGCACAAGACCAGGTCCTTGTAAGAATCCATTACTGCAAAGGACATACGGGATAGACGGCTCATAGGGAGAAAGCTCGTGATGATCGATTGCGGGTCGTCTGAGTGAAGAAGCAGAGGAGGTTGTTGGTTCCTGCTCCGGTGGTAAGAAATGAAACGGCGATTGAACCGTACTGGGTCGAAGATGAGAGAGCTCCACCGCTTGCAGACGAGCTTGCACCGGCAGGCGGACCTAGGGTTAGGGAGGGCGCGGATCAGAATCTCTACGATGAGATCGTCTGCCAGTTTCCAGATCGATGCGTTACCTTCTGCTGAAATTAACCTCCTCCGTTTGCTGGAGCTACAAAGTGCATAACCTGAGCCCTGCCGCTGATCCGAAGCCGAGGTGCTGTTATCTGCCGTCGCCATGGAGTAGTAGACAGACCAACTGAAGTCGCCGGAGGAGTCAAGGTGTCAAAGAAACTAAGAAAGAGATCGACGTCCCTAATTTTTGTGTGTTGGTTAATAATGGGCTTGCCTTCCATTTCTGCTTGGGCTTCTGCAATCAAATTAAACTTTCAGGCCTTTTATTGATGGGTTGGGCCGTAGTACATATTTGGAAACATAAGCTCACTCAGGGAGAAAGCCGAGCCCTGACTCGTATGTTGTGTTAGAGTGTAGTATAAGATTCAGTATAATCTTCTCTCAACAATTCGAATTATTGGAATTAAATGTTTTTATGACATTGTATCAGAGCTGGTTTGACCAAGTGGTCGTGTGTCCTAATCTCCACGACCTCCAATATTAACAGTTGATTAAAAGCACAAGGTATGGTGAACATGTGCAAACTTCAAGCTCATGAGTTGGCTTTCGTTTGAGGGGGCGTGTGTTAGAGTGTGATATAAGATCCAACATAACCTTCTCCCAACAACTCGAATTATTAAGACCAACTGATTTATTACATGCTGAAGGAGGAGAGGACTCTTAGAGGAAAAAATGATCTGGTGAGGACGTTAATTATGAAAAGGATTTTGTGGGAACATAATACCATTTGGGTTGAGTGAGTGAACATTTTTATGTCTTATCTAGGGATGGCAACAAAACCCGAACCCACGGGTACTCACCCGACCCAACCCGGTCAACGCGGGTAAAATCCGTGTTGACGGGTTTTGGGCCGGGTTTGGGTTTAAACCCGTTCACTATTCACCGGGTTGGGTTTGGGTTTGGGTAAACCCGACCCATGGGTACCCGCTCACACCCATATAATTAATTTTCTCGGCATATTTAATATTCTAAACAACTAATCTTATTTATGTTTGTGGAGACATGTATAATTTGTTCTTTCTAGTTATGTAGTATGAAGTTGATGTTATCGAGTGAATAGTGAAAAACTTAATTGAAAGGAAGAAGCTTTCAATTAACCATGTTATTTATGGATAATTTGTGAATTGCTTCAATTTTGTTGAGTTTTCTAGATTGGTGTTGAACAATTTGTATAGTTAATTTGTGATTTGCTTGAATTTTCTAGAGTGGTGTTTTATATATGGATAATTTGTATTGGGAAATTGATATTTGACTTTAATTTTGATAGGAATTTTTTATTGTGAATTTTTTATGACAAAAACCCGTGGGGTACCCATGAACCCGCGGATACCCGGCGAGTTGGGTTGGGTTTGAGTTTTTCAAACCCAGTGGGTTTTACCCCAAATTTTTTTCACGGATAAACCCATGGGTTTAGGTTTGAGTTTGACAAAACCCGACCCAACCCGACCACTTGAGTCATTCGTTTCGCTGGTGATAGACTTCCGTTACGAGTATAACCTCCAATTTCTAAAGGCTTTAGTCCCTAGTTAGCATCCATTATAGATAGCATAGGAACATGACGATTTTACTAAAAAATTAGGGGGTCGAATTTTCATACCAATAATAAACAATGCTGACCCCTACAAATAAATCAATTTTTTATATATAATAAGAATAACGTACATCTTACACGTAAATTAAAATTAATCACCGCAGTAATTAATTTAATTTTAATTAATTTCATTCCAATAAATATTTTGTTTTTATCGAGCTAGCAACCCACTTGGTCACGATACTCCAAGAACACGAGCGCGGCGCCATAATGCGCCAGCGCGCCGAGCACCACCAGCACGTGAAAGATCTGGTGGCTATGGCCCGCCAGATCGAACCACCCGGGTCTGAACCGCTCGGGCACCCGTGCCACGTAGAACGCCGTACCCATCAGGTACGACAGCGCCATCGCGCCCTCATAGTACAAGATGGCGTCGCGCTTCGGGTTCGACCAATTGACCAACCCGGCGTGGACCGACGGGACCAACCCGAAAAGACCCATGGAGGTGAAGAGCATCGCCCGGAGTCCCCTGAATCTTCCGGCGGAGTGGGAAGGGGTTAAAAGAGTGGCGATGGTGAAGATCCCCATGACGGTGATGCCGCCGAGGTAGGCGAATTGCCAGTGGGGCTCGCACTGGAAGACGTAGTAGATGTTTGGGAAGAAGGAGGTGATGATCATGACGGCGATTCCGACGTAGTCGATGCGGAGGAGGGTGAGGTTGAGGTGGTGGGAGTGGCAGGAGAAGAGGTGGCAGATGGTGGAGGAGAGGAGGCAGAACATGGAGCCGGCGAGGAAGACGTAGAACGGCCACCGGGCGGCTGGGGTCCCGTCGGCGGCGGCGGCGAGGTGGCGGTGGATTGATTGTTGGGAGATTTGCTTTAGGTCTATTGTGCCCTGCAGAACATGGTTGGGTAAATGTTACCGTTTAGGTCAATGAATGAGTCCCATGTGACATAAAAAGATTTTGTTCCAATAAGCATAATTCTTTAGTTACATTCATTGTTACGAAAAAATGGTTGCCCTCCATTGGATACTTATATTTTATGTAATATCAAATAAGGTCGTCGTCCTAACGTTCATTATAGTCGTAAAACAGTGATATTTTTTCACATAACTGTCATATCACATGCATCTAAAAGTCATAAACACAACATAACTGTCATATCTCGATATCTATACCAACTCTCTCTCATAGCAAGTCGAGTAATTTATCATAGGGTGATGATCAGGGTATGTCAAGTCGACCCATATGAGTATGTAACTTAAAGGGAAAAATTAAAAAGAATATTTATTTTTCTTTAAAAAATTCAAAAAAAAAACTATGACACGATATGTAGTTAAATAATTATTGGAATTGAGCGTCACCTACTTACAATCATATAATTGCTAAAATACAAGGTTATAAAATTAAAATTATAAGTAATTTGACTAAAATTATATGTAATTTAGACAAAAAAATCAATAAAAAATGAAATGTGCCAGAGCATATCAAATAGAGTATCCATACACCCTATCCCACCTAAAACATATCAAACAGATCGGATAAAACAAATAAGTCGAAATTTCACATTAGCACTCCAAGTCACCAACAAGATAGGATAAAATGGCGTGCCTTGTGTTAAACTTAAAACTAATTGAATGTGATTATGGAAAAGGAAGAATAAAAAATTGTATTTCACTTGAAAAGTCTTCATTGATTGGTCACAAGTTAACAACAAAGGAAAGAGGTCGCTTACCAATAACTGATAATTTGAATCATGGGAGGCATTTCTCTCTGTGCTCGTGAGAACTGAGCTGTAAACAAACAAGAACAGGGAGGCAATTATTAATCAGTAATCATGACGATTAATTACTATACAAATCCGTAATTAGAAAAATTGAATTGCTAATTGCCGCTCTAGCACCCAAATCATGACAAAAAAAAATTATATTAATACACTGCTGGCAATTCATGTGCTTCTAATCTCATGCCACCCCACAAAGTTCCAAAAAATGTTAATCTTATGACATTTCATTTGGCACCAATTCCATGACCAGATTAGTAGTTGGCGATTTCGAACTAATTACACGAAATTATGATAGTATCTATCGAGATTGAAAATACAAGCAGGAAAATCATGAAAGCTCGAAGTTTCGAACACACCATCTCGGAATTACGTACTAACTAGTTATGACGCGGAACTCGATGTTAACAATGATTAATCTTATTATAATTAGGATCCACAAACCTGGTAAACAAGCCGAAGAGATCCGCGACTTGAGGCACTTTCACCAAATTCGCCATGGTCAACCCCAAAAACAGCAAAAACCCAATCAAATGCCTGCAAAAACAAAGATCCAAAAACCACCACCATTAACAAAGAACTAATGAAAACCCAATTGAGAACTAATCAATGTAATTCACATCACCAAATCACCATTAATCAACTAATTACTTACGTCCAAACATTCAGCGTCTCATTATGCCATCGGCAGATGCTGAAGAGTGCCTCCTTGAGAGGCCAATTGGCTCTGTAGTAACCCAATATGAACTCGTTGTCCTTCATGTACTCTGGCAGCTCCCAAAACGACGACAGCTTGTAACTAACCTCCTTGTTGATCTTCTTATTAATCCCATGATTAACAACACTAATCTCCTCTTCTCCTTCCACTACTTTATGAACATCATCACCCTTAGAAGTGCTAATCCCCTCTTGATGATCCATCGCCATCCCCTGTTCCTGGTGCTGGTGGTGCTGTCTTCTCTTCCTCTTGGCTCGCCGGATGATCTTCTTGAGAGCTGACATCCTGACAATCTGTGTATTTATAAGGTGAAGGGAGGGGGAGGATTTGGTGACTGGTTTCTGCTGTTGTTTGTTGGGGTTAGGCTAATGAGATTGAGGAGTTTGGTCAATTGTATATATAACCCAGAAAAAGCAGAGGATTTTGAATCTTTCTTTGGGGGGGTTTTGAATGTGGTGGATTATTGTAATGGGGAAGAAGGGAAAAGGGTGATTCTTTTTTTTCCACAACTGTCTGTACCAACATAAGGGAAGTAGGGTGGGGGATGGGAAATAAATATTGTTGGTTGGAGGGTTTGGGGTCAAGTGCATGAAGGAGAGAGAGGTTTGTGGTGAAGGAAGAAGATGGACTTAATTGTGAGCAAAGACAAAGAAGGGGTTTTGTTAGGTTGCCAAATAAATTGGGTCATCAAGGTGGTGAGTTGTGAAGATGAATTTTTGATGTATGTGGGTAACAAGTGATGAAGGTTTTGGCTGGACACATGGCTGCTTTTCTTGGGCCATTTTTGACTCCCAGTTGTGGGCCCTTTTCTTGGGTATAATGAGTCATCACACCTCATATGGTAGAGATGAACATAAACTCGAATCTAACTTAGCGATAACATCGGTAAAATATTGATTGAATTCTGAAAGAGAACACACATCACCAGACACCAGTGGTGTATCCAGGTTTCGTTTAAAGTGGGTCCATCTTGAAAAAAATAAATATGATAAAATAGTTTTTTTAATATAATCTTACATTTGAAATTTTTTGATAAATTAAAATGAATTAGCAGTCGAAAATATCAAGAATA